GAAACAAAAGTGTTTTTGAGCATAGAACCTAATGCCATCATAAATTTATTAAAACAAGAGCTCAAACTTAATTTGAAACATAAAATGAGATGAAATGGGAAATATGAAACTAAGAATATAATGAGAACAAATCAACATCAGTCTGAAACAAATAAATTTGAAACAGTAAAGAAGTTAATGACCTAAAAATTCAATTACTGACATAGGGAAAAGCTTTAGAAAGCTGTAGAGAAAACAAAATGGGAAACAAATACACACAAACAAAAACAATAACAAAAAAAGATGAAAGAAACTTGAATCATCATAGGGGTGATCCAGCATGAACACCACTGATTTATCTAAAGAAATGAACCTTATGCCAAAGAAGAAATTTATCAGGAAATGTAATACAAGAAAAGTTTCCTGAAATAAACCAAGTTGCCTGAAGGCAAAGGAGTATGCAACATTTTGAAGGGAAGAATAGTATCTCCTAAGGAAATATGGATAAGTTTAGTAATTCTGTTATTTTGTTGGTTTCTTTTTTTTTTTTTTTTGGCTTTCTCCAGACAGGGCCTCAGTTGATACATAGCCCAGGCAGGATTGGAATTTAAGATTCTCTTGTCTCAGCCTCCCAAATACTGGGGTCACAGGTGTGTGTTACTAATGCCATCTTTCATTTTAAGCACAAAGTTAAATTTTGTTCTTTTTATTTAAAGCATAAAACATATTTCTGGCTGTTCCAACATGGGATAAATTTTTACATTTTTCTTTGGAGTGTATAGCACAATTTAATTTAAAAAAATACATAGTTATCTAAAAATAAAACCTTATTCCAGAAAGTATGTGAAACAGTAAAACAATCATGAACATGTTCTGCGTGGAACTTGGCGTTGGTGGTGTCAGGTCTGAGAGCTGCCCTGCAAGGCTTCCTCATCTCTTTCTTTAGTTACTTTCACTGCTTTGTGTCTTTCCCCTCCTCCCAGCTTTCAGGAAGGAGAGGAAACTGCTCACCTTCCATGGTGATTATCGTTTTTATGTCACCGTGTGCCTAAAGCACAACATTGACTTCATGATGTGCAGCTTGAGGCAGGAAATATCATTTCATAAAACAGTGGACTGAAGAATTAAAAAACATCACTTTGTACAAGTTAACAGTACTGATGTCTTTTGTCTGTTATTATTTAGCTGAAATATTTTAGTCGTGAGACCCCCTCCCCCACCTTTTCGGTGGTTACAGTGGGATAATACTTATTTTTTCATTAATCTAATATATAAGAGCACACAAACAGATGTCACAACATGACTAGAATACTTTATTTTATGTAAATTTTCATCCTTAATAAATGCAAAGTAGTTATTACAGAGTAGACATTTTGGTCTAATATGAATTTCAAATATGTGCATTGCAACAGCTATTTGAAAATAATGAAGAATTAAAGTATTTGGCTTTTCTACAAGTAAGTAATATATGGTTGAATAATTTTGTTTGTATGCCAAGGATCCAACAAATGGAAACCAAATGAAATTAGGACAAGTAATTATTGCTCAAAAATATAATGGTTGACAGAGATTATGGGTAGTTGATGCCCTTTAAATGCTGATTTATTTCCAAAACAGCTAGAAAAAAGGATGACTTCATCTTTTCTTTCCTGCAATAAATTTTTCCTCTGTGTATGTACGTCTTGCCTCCCTTCCTCCTTCCCTATCTACCTATTTGTCATTAAAGACAAAGAAGCAGCTGTGAGTATTTTGTTTAGTTAAAATAGTGTTTTATGGTTTTTGTGTTTTTTTGTAACCAAGAGCCATTAAGGTCTTAGGACTTTTTAGTTTTGTTGGTAGGAAACCACAAATAAGTGGTTTTACTTTTGTAGTTTTCTGTTCATTAGTGTAATTGCTAAAGTTCCAGTACTTCAAGATTCTACCAACTAATATTTCATGATCACCCAACATATACTCACTCTAAAAACTATTACATAGTTCCCTTCTGTTTGTCAGTACATCAGTATTGTGTATTTAGAAACTTCATGAAGAGCTTGCTTTAAAAGATCCTTAATTTAATCAACATCCAAACACCCAGCATGAAAAGGTCTTCCTTCTTTGTCGGTCCCCCTTCTCAGACTGGTGTCAACAGAGTCCTCAGATAGGAGAGTAAAAGGGGAGGACATTCAATGGTGAAAACTTACAGCTCCACAACCTGGGTTACTTCAGAAAGGAACATAGTGTTCTAGAAAAGTTTCCATGAATTTTGATTGTGACCTTCAAAAATTGCCACAATGTTAGTGCAGTATTATTTAGAATAGGCTTTTCTCAGACTACTTTCTTCAACTGTCAGAGTGCTCTCGTGATAGTAATCTTAATTTAAAAGAAAATTACGGTTGGTGTTCTACAATCTTACCAATTGGTTTCTTTTTTTTTCCAACAGAAATCCTAGAGGCTGGTGTTAAAGGAGCTTCAGAATCCCTTAAAGGTGTGAAACGAAAGAAGATTGTCACTGAGAATCACCTGAAGAAAATACCAAAATCCCCCCTGAGAAATCCTCTCCAGGCAAAACACAAACAAAACACAGAGGAGTTGGCTTTTGCTGGTCTTCAGAGTGCTTCAGAGCCTCACAAGAAACAGAATTATATTCCTGTCAAAAATGGGAAGCAGTTTGCCAAACAAAATGGAGAAAGACCTGGTATAACTGCCGAGGTCTCCAAGTCTGAAGACCCCGTGTCCCCCAAGAAGCCCCCGCTCCTGCAGCACCCGTCAGAACTGCGAAGATGGAGATCAGAAGGCGCGGACCCAGCCGGGCTCAGTGTCCTGGATGAAAAACGGGACACAAGCTCCTTGTGCAGCAAAACCAGGACTGACAACAGTGAATGTATCCCTTCCCATGGCTGTGCCACTCCCCCCTCATATACAAACACCGCCTTCGATGTCTTACTGAAAGCGATGGAGCCAGAGCTGAGCACCTTGTCACAAAAGGGCTCATCGTGTGCAATTAAGACAGAAAAACTGAGACCAAATAAACCTGCACGATCCCCTTCACAATTAAAACTCAGTTCTGTGGGTGCCCCAAATCAGACTTCACAAGACTTTGTTGCCAAGTCGCAGTGCTCTCCCTGTACCTCATACACAGTGCATGTGGCCACTGCTCAGAAGAATGAGCCAGTGGCTGTTCAATCCGTTTCTCACCAGTATAATCCACAGGAACACTTTGTTTCCAAACCTAACCAACACAGTCAGCAGCTTCCGGGGCGTGCAGGTTTCACAGGATCACTAATGAATCTGCAAACTCAAGAGAATGCTAAACTTGACCAGGTGTATAATATAGCAATGACGTCAACCATAGGTCTCACTTCACCTTCCAGTAGAACTCAGGTTACTCCTCCAAACCAGCAAATGGATTCTGCTTCACCCTTGTCAATAAGTCCAGCCAATTCCACACAGTCTCCCCCCACGCCAATCTATAATTCAACTCACGTTGCCTCTGTTGTTAATCAAAGCGTAGAACAAATGTGCAATCTTCTTCTGAGAGATCAGAAGCCAAAAAAACAAGGAAAATATATCTGTGAGTATTGCAATAGAGCTTGTGCAAAGCCTAGTGTGCTTTTAAAGCATATCCGCTCCCACACTGGAGAGCGGCCCTACCCCTGTGTGACTTGCGGATTTTCCTTTAAGACTAAAAGTAATCTGTATAAGCACAAAAAATCCCACGCACATACTATCAAACTGGGTCTTGTCTTGCAACCAGATGCTGGTGGTTTGTTCTTATCCCAGGAGTCCCCAAAAGCACTTAGTGTCCAGTCAGATGTAGAAGACAGTGGGGAGAGCGAGGAGGAGGGCCCCGGTGAGGGGAGACAGAATGACCCCAATACTGCAGAGCTGCAGCCTGTGCAAATAGTGAAGAAAGTAGCAAGTTCTGAACCCGTCGTAGCAAAATCAGCTTCTGTTCTGGGCAGTTCAGATCATGTTGCAGGTGACTTTTCATCACAGGACAGATCTTCAGAATCACAGGCACTGGCAGAGTTACCAAAAGTTGTGGTCCACCCTGTCAGCACGTCCCCCTTGAGAACCGATAGTCCCAAGGTTGTCAGTCCCAAACCTGAACTTTCTAGTGCTCAGAGACAGAAGGACCTCCAGGTCGCAACCATACTGTCCCATTCAGTCAGTGTGTCCTCCCTCGAGACTGATGAGAAATCCCATCCAAAAGGGGACCTGAGTCAGCCAGAAGGAAAACAAGAGTGTCATGGAGGAGCAGTACATGCCCAACTCCAAAGGCAGCAGGCCACCGATTACTCCCAAGAGCAGCAAGGCAAACTCCTGAGTCCTCGGAGTTTAGGAAGTACGGATTCTGGCTACTTTTCACGGTCTGAAAGTGCTGATCAAGCAGTGAGTCCTCCAACTCCCTTTGCTAGAACCTTCCCCACCACAGAACCAGATTCCACTAAGAATAATGGACCCTCTACACCTCGAATCGGTACACCAGCACCCCCTGCTTTGACAGCAGGGGAAAAACCATTGCTCTTAGCAGGCCAGATGCGCCCGCCATTAGCCACAAAAACACTGGAGGAGCGGATATCAAAGCTTATCTCAGACAATGAGGCCCTGGTAGATGATAAGCAGCTGGACAGTGTCAAGCCACGGAGAACCTCCCTCTCCAGACGAGGAAGCATCGATTCCCCCAAGTCCTACATATTTAAAGATTCTTTCCAGTTTGACCTAAAACCAATGGGGCGGAGAACAAGTTCAAGTTCTGATATACCAAAGTCCCCATTTACCCCTACTGAGAAGTCAAAACAAGTGTTTCTCCTGTCAGTACCCTCCCTTGACTGCTTGCCTATTACAAGAAGTAACTCCATGCCAACAACAGGTTACTCAGCAGTCCCTGCAAATTTAATTCCTCCCCCTCACCCACTAAGAGGAAGCCAGTCATTTGATGACAAAATTGGCGCTTTCTATGATGATGTCTTTGTCTCAGGACCCAACACTTCAGTACCCCCAAGTGGACATCCCCGTCCTCTCGTCCGGCAGGCAGCAGTAGAAGACTCTTTGGCCAATGAGAACCATGTTCTTGGCACTGGCCAGTCCTTGGATGAGAGCTGTCAAGGATGCCCTGCTACCAGTGAAGCTGGGTCAGCCCGGAACAAGGCTGTGGCACCAGGCTCACACCTAGAGAAAAAGAAGTCTCACCAAGGACGAGGGACCATGTTTGAGTGTGAAACCTGTAGAAATAGATACAGGAAATTGGAGAATTTTGAAAACCATAAGAAATTTTACTGTTCAGAGTTACATGGACCCAAAACCAAGGTAACTATGAGAGAGCCTGAACACAGCCCTGTAGCTGGCGGGACACAGCCCCAAGTTCTGCACTACAGAGTTGCTGGTTCCACAGGTGTCTGGGAGCAGACGCCCCAGATCAGAAAAAGGAGGAAAATGAAAAGTGTTGGAGATGATGAGGAGCTTCAGCCAAATGAAAGTGGAACGTCTCCCAAAAGCTCTGATGCCCTTCAGCTGCAGAGTGCCTCAGGCTCTGCTCCCAGCCTGTCCAAACAGGCCACTGCCATGACCAGTGACCAGCAGCCCAGGAGCATACAGCTGCACAACTCCCAGGTTCCACTGATGGCCAGGGGCCCTGAGCAGACCATGGATCCAAAGCTGTCTACCATCATGGAACAGCCGATGAGTGCAGCTGTCCAGGACAAGGTGGAGGTGAAGAGGCAAGGGACCGGCATCTCAGTCATCCAGCACACTAACTCCCTGAGTAGACCCAACTCATTTGATAAGCTGGAGCCCTTCGAAGCAAGCTCCACTGTTTCTTTCCAGGAACTGAGTAGAACTGGGAAGCCTGGGTCTCTGAGAGTGATGGGAAGCTCGCCAGAGGAAGGCCACCCTTCTCGGGACATGTCACATCCTCACCAGCCTGCACTGTCAGATGCTCTCAGGGGAGAGCTGTGGGAAAGCTCCAGAAAGATTGCAAGTGAGCGACACGTGTTAGGACCACCCTCGAGACTTGTCCGGCAGCACAATATCCAAGTTCCAGAAATTCTTGTCACAGAAGAGCCAGATCGGGACCTGGAAACCCAGGGCCATGAGGAAGAAAAATCTGAGAAGTTCAGTTGGCCTCAGCGTAGTGAAACCTTGTCAAAGTTGCCAACAGAGAAACTGCCACCCAAAAAGAAAAGACTCCGCCTGACCGAGATAGAGCACTCCTCCACGGAGTCAAGTTTTGACTCAACTCTCTCCCGGAGTCTAAGCAGAGAGAGCAGCTTATCACACACCTCGAGTTTCTCAGCCTCCTTAGACATAGAGGACACTTCTAAAACAGAGGTCTCCCCCAAAATCGATTTTCCAAATAAAGCAGAGTTTCTTTTGATCCCGCCTGGCTCAAATACACTGAATGTCCCTGGAAGTCACCGGGAAATGAAGCGTGCTGCATCAGAACAGATCAATTGCCTGCCAATGCTGATGGAGGTCTCTGACTTCAGAAGTAAGTCATTCGACTGTGGGAGCATGACCCCACCCCAGACAGCCCCACCTGCCAAATCACAGCCTTCAACCCCCCCTTCTAGTGTGGGGGTCCCTGGACATGTGCCCCTTTTGGAAAGAAGGCGGGGCCCACTGATCCGACAGATATCTTTAAACATAGCTCCAGATAGTCATCTGTTGCCTGGAAGCCTATCATCGTTCCAAAATATTGCTCTGGCAGTGCCATTTCAGGGTTCTCAGCTCCCTAACACTTCTCTGGCTGAGTTTCCTGCAAATACTTTGCATTCCCAGACTCAAACAAAGGATCTGCGGGCACAAACATCAAATTCTAGCTCTACTAACGTCTTTCCGGTTCAACAGCCTTTCAGTATCAATTTGTTAAATCAAACCCCTGCAACCCTTAGCCACCAAAACACACAGCTGCCTCTGCAAGTGTTTGCAAAGGGAGACAAACCAGATGCACGATCCACCATATGTGTGTCTTCTCCAAGCCAGGATTGCTTTGCTCCTAAGTACCAACTTGAGTGTCAGGTCTTCTCTGCAGGTCAATCCTGTTCTTCTAATCCTGTCCATCTTTTGCCCAGTCAAGTTCTTCCAGACCCAGCTGGAGCAGATCAGTGCATGGCTACAGTAGCCTTACCAACCAAACTGGTGGATTCCATGTCTAACTCGGACCCTTTGCCACCTCTGGGACTCAGGCCACCAGGCCCTCTTCAGGTGCAGAAGGTGCCATCATCCTTCATGCTACCTATACATCTGCAGAGTAATGTTCCCACATACTGTTTTGCCACTGTCACATCGCTGCCACAAATCCTAGTGACTCAAGATCTCTCCAGCACACCAATTTGCCAGACTAATCAAAGTATAGTACCAACCAGTGAAGAACAAAGTCCCATGCCAAAATCACAGGACGATCACCAGAATGCTTTGCCAAACCCAGAGGAAGAACTCATTTGCAAAAATGTTTTCTCTGAGATCAGCCAGAGTTCTTTCTCCGAATCTTTGCCCATAACTCAGAAAATGTCTGCTGGTAGACTTTCCCCCCAACAAGAATCTTCAGTCTCCAGCAAAAGGATGCTTTCCCCAGCAAACAGCTTAGACATTGCCATGGAAAAGCACCAGAAGCGGGCCAAAGATGAAAATGGAGCTGTTTGTGCCACGGACATTAGACCATTGGAGCCACTGAGTTCAAGAGCAAACGAGGGTAATAGACAGAAGAAACCAGTTTTAGTGAGACAGCTTTGTACTACAGAGTCCCTCGAAGGAGTGATATTGGAGCAGGATGTTTTTTCTCAGCCTGAAACTAGTAGGGAAGCTATTAATTTGACAGCGGTTTTACCAGCTGATAATTTGTCATCAGGACACTCCAAGTTTATAGTCATAGAACCTATCAATGAATTGCAAGAATTTGAAAATATTAAGTGTTCTGCATCATTAACTCTTACAGTTCAAAATTCACCTCTCCCTTCAGAAGATACCCACATTTCTCCTTTGAAATCTGTAGGCAATGGCCAAGAAAGGACATCTCCAGGGATTAACAATCAAAGTGGCAAAGTGAATGTCCAAGGACAAAGTGAACCACCCACCACCACTCTTCCATGGCTCAACCCTGCAGACACGCATCAGCTGTCTTTCCCTAGCCTAAAGACTGCAACCAGCTTTACGTGGTGTTATCTATTAAGGCAGAAGTCATTGCCTTTGCCTCAGAATGACCAGAAAACTTCAGCCTACACTGACTGGATAGTAAGCTCCAGTAACCCAAATCCACTTGGTTTGCCTACAAAAGTTGCTCTTTCTCTCCTTAATTCAAAACAGAAGACTGGAAAATCACTATATTGTCAAGCAATAACCACCCACTCTAAATCAGATTTACTGGTCTATTCAAGCAAGTGGAAAAGCAACTTAAGCAAGGTACTTGAAATAGAATTTATTTTCAAATATGGTTTGTGCAAATTAGTTTCAACATGTCTTGATACCTTTAAATATTTTACTTAGAAGTATTTTAATTTTGAATTACACATTGTACTCTGTGTGTTGTAATTATTGGGAAGGCAGGTGACATTATTTACCCCGGTAGTAATTCTGATAAGAATCAACTGGAGTCCTTGCAGTGATTCCATCTTGAAATGATGACTTACTCTGAGCACTGTTTTTATTTTGTTTTTTTTAGCTGACTATGGTAAGTCTTTAATGGGAGAGATAATCACATTTTACCTTGATCTAACTTTTCTCTTGGGGTATTATTGTTAAATGAGAGGAGACTGTGGTTCCTGCTAGTGCAGGGACACAAAGAGTTGCAGTGTCAGTAGTATCACAGGAGTATGTGCAATTCTAAAAGAAGGAAGTCTTTTAACATTGTGGATAGATGGAGGAGGTGTGGATATAGGAACGTGCATCAAAGGTGGTAATACTGTAGCCGAGACACAGATGATAATAATAAGAAAAGAAGGAGGGGGAGGAATGGATTTTTAGACAAACAATAATAAAACCTTTTTTGGGGGGAAGAGGGTGCAGTACTTGGGTTTGAACTCAGGGTTTAACTTGCAAAACAGTGCTCTACCACTTAAGCCACACCTGCAGCCCTTTTTGCTGTGGTTATTTTGGAGATCCAGTCTAGGTTTTTGCCTAGGCCAACCTGAACCATGATGCTCCTTTTTTATGCTTCCTGCCTTCGCTAGAATGACAGGTGCTTGCCATCACACCCAGCTTTTTTCCATTAAGATAGGATCTCGCAAGCTTTTTGGCCTGGATTGGCCTTCCACATAACATGGGATGACAGGTCCATGCCATTGTGCCCAGCTACTGGTTAGAATGGGGCCTTGCCAACTTTTTGCCCAGGCTGGTCTGGACCCGCAGTCCTCTGGATCTCAGCCTCCCAAGTAGCTAGGGTTATAGGAATGAGCCACATACACCTGGCTTTAAAAACAATGTTTAATAGACCACTAAATAACATGGAAGCAAGAAGAAACTTGGCTCATTTAAAGAACTGCAAGGGTCCGCTCTGGCCAGAAGGTTTTGCAAGTTTAAAACAGTAACATACTTTGAAGTTAGAAATGTAGGTAAAAATCAAAGCTTGTGCATGATGTTGGAAAACCATCAGTGATCCTTCAGGGAAGAAAGTCACCTCTAGACATTTGGAAGATTTATTTTTTTAAGTGCTCAGACTCGAAACCTACTAATTCAGAATCTTAAATGAAACCTAATCATGAGAATTTAAGGAGAGCTTCATTTATATTCCTGCTGTGCCATGAAAAATGCTTCTCCTGGGCTGAGGTGGAGCCCAGTGGTACAGCATGTGTTCAGCATATGTGAGATCCTGGGTTCGATCCCCAGCATGGGGAAAAAAAAAAAAGGAAGAAAAAAAGGGCTCTCAAGTACCAAATACCTTGATATCTGGAAATACGTGCCTACAGCTGGATCTCTGGAGTGAGCTCCAGATTGAAGGTGTAGAGATTCTTCAGTGTGTATATATAATTAATGAGATTGCTTAAGAGGAGAATAAAGAAAAAGAGTGGATAAAGAAAGCCTACAAGGAAAACATGATGCAACTGTTCCTAGAGGAAAGAGGAAGACCAGGAGAAAGTTGTGTCACACAAAACATGGCAGAATAGGTTTCAAGAGTTGTTCCAGTAGAGAGGTTAAATAAAGATGAAAGCAAACAGGAGTATTAGATGCTAGGCTGGCTGGGATCCACAACCCAAACATGAGTGGACTTATGATTCAAATGGAAAACATCAAACAAATGCTGTAAAGTGAAAGAGAAGGAGAAACAAGGTATCTCCAACATCTGATGCTGTGAAGTAGTCAAGCACATTAAAATTAAAGAAATGATAAAGATTTCAGCATTTGCTGGGCACTGGTGGCTCACACTTGTAATTCCAGCTACTCAGGAGGCAGAGATCAGGAGGATGGTTGTTTGAAGCCAGCCCAGGCAAATAGTCTGTAAGACCCTATCTCAAATATACCCAACACAAAAAAGTGCTGGTGGAGTGGCTCAAGTGGTAGAGCACCCGCCTAGCAAGCATGAGGCCCTGAGTTCAAACCTCAGAACCACCAAAAGAAAAAGATTACTGATTACTTTGGTAAATAGTAAGTAGCTGGATTTGATAGTAGGAAAATGAGCAAAAGATAAAGGGGAAATTGATGCTGAAAAGAATGAAAGAGGGTTATTGTCTAAGGGTAGCCAGAAGGAGCATGGTGGTCAGTACTCCTTCACACTCCGTGTGTGAGGAGCATGGCCAGCAGCCCTTCTTTGCTGGCATCTTTGTAAGAGTGCACCCTCTACTCTCTTGTCACTATTATTAGATAATCTCAGGACCACAGCAGTATAACTTTTAAAGGAGTTTTGTGTAGAAGCCCATGATTAGCAAAGCTGTGTTTCATGTTGGATTCAGGCAAAGGACTGGAGTTCGAGCCTTTACCTTGGTCAGGTAACTTGACCCTGAGATTGTCCTTCCTCCCTGAGATGTGTAGTCCACCTCTGCTACCTGCCTCACAAGGATAGGTGGGAGTGGATGTTGTGACCCGTGAGAAAACACTGTTAATGGGGAAGCTATGTAAGGTCTTGAACAAAACCACAAGGTGGTATTTCCCAGAGGAAAACCACACAGTGTTTTATCATTTTGGTGTTCATTACCTTTCCAAAGATTGAATTATTAGTGGCCTAAAACCTAAATGCAGGTTTTTGAACTGACCTGGATCTCACAGTGACCAGTATTCAGGAAACTTTTGAGAAGATCTAGAGAAGAACATGCTTGTGACTCAGACTGATGGGGGGCAGGGAAGTAGAGCACCTGGACATGGAGCTTCTGGTTTACCTTGCAGTGCAGGAGCACAGGCGGAAGGGAGCTGAGTGATGCTTCTTGGGTTCTCAGACATTATTAGACGAAAAGAGGTAACTAGCTCATTCTTTTCCACCTCCAAAGCATAAAATCTTTAAGTCATATATTTTAGCTATAGCATTAGTGGTTAAATACAAGAAAGAATATTTAGTCTATTGTAAAAGAATGTTTCTGTTATGTTCATGGAGTACCAAGGTGGGGGATTTAGCTGGGGATCTCAGGGATTGGAGGGAATAAAATGACATTTGAATCTGTTACTTCTTTGGGATGCATTTCATTAAGTTAACTACCTGCTCGTACTCTGCCATGTTTTAATTTCCAGTGAAACATTAGCATGTTCGTGTTTTCAGTTTTATTAAATTAGTTTCTCTTTTTTTCCCTTTCAGATAGCATTAGATAATCAAAAGTCCACAATAGTTGAATTCAGCAATAAAGATGCCTCTGAAATTAACAGTGAGCAAGATAAAGAAAATTCCTTAATCAAAAGTGAACCGAGAAGAATTAAAATATTTGATGGAGGGCAAGTACAAATTTTATTCTTAAATGTACATTTAAACTTACTTTTTAAATGTACATTTGCTTTCATGTGAAAGAAGACTTATCAGTGCCAGTTTTATTTAAATGTTGCAAAGTTTCTCAGCTTACTAACAAAATCTTTATGGAAAAATATGTTAGTATTATGTTAAATAATTCCATTTTGATGGAGAAAATGATAACTAGGAAACATCATAGGGCCCAGAAGGCAGCTAAGAACTAAAGTATCAGAGTGAGCCGAGGTTTCATGCTGAAAACCTGCTCTAAGCGAGATGGATTTATTGCTTATTTGATGTCTTACCGTATTTTATTATGAGAGGAGCAAATTGTAAAAGCCAATTATAGTTATAGTAAAGATCAGAAATATTTTAGATCTTTACAGTTGTGATTGAATTTAGCCATGAAGAAAACTTAAAATAGTATCTTAGAATCAAGGAAAAAATTCTGAATTAAACATCATATTGAGTAAGTTTGTTTCATTAGAACTAGCTGTTAGAACTTTTAAGTGTTGATGTGGAAACTGGAATATTCTATTACTAATGTGTTCATAAAATTTTTGTAGATTGGGTATAAAAGTTGTGCTTTATTTTTTAGGTTGAATTTTAATATTTCCTCAAAGACATAGTGTCCAATCTCCCTGTTCATTTTCTTTTCTTTAAATTAGATATAAATCAAATGAAGAGTATGTATATGTTCGAGGCAGGGGAAGAGGAAAGTACATTTGTGAAGAATGTGGAATACGTTGTAAGAAGCCTAGCATGTTAAAGAAACACATACGAACACACACAGACGTTCGCCCCTACCACTGCACGTACTGTAACTTCTCCTTTAAGACTAAAGGTATGAGATGCACCTTGCTGTGGTCTGTGCTGTGTGCATTTTCCTGAGACAGCTAAGACTGGGCCTTGCCTACTTGATCCAGGAGAAGTAGCTTCAGTCTCATGAGCGTCACACTGTTATTTCTTTGTTTCTAGACCCCTTTGGGAAAGGTTTTTAATCATACATTTTTAGAATATATAGAAGTGTAAGATTTAAAAGGAGCAAGCGCCCTTTTCTATATTTTATTCTCCATATTACAGTTGCAGAACATGGTGACTAATACATTTTCAAATAATATTTACTTTGGGACTAAAGAAGAAAAAAATTTTCATGACCAGAAGCATATTCATTTGGGTCCTAAAATATTAAAAAAAGATTAAAGATATTAATCACAGTAAACCTTTTTAATAATTACACTCATGTCTTATTATCTAATTTTAAGCTTGTGCATATTTTTTTGCCTTTTTTTATGATGCAGTTCTTACTCAAATAATACGGGAATTTCAGCTTTAAAAAATTTTAACCTTTCTACTACTTAATATTTAAAAGAGATCTCAGAAGTAGTCATTAAAATTATATTTAGCATCCTTTTTGTTTTTCTTATTTTTATTTAAATCATAAGCCTTTATTATAATTTTACCCTATACAAATTTCTTCTTATGCATAATGGATGTAATACCATAAAATGTTTGCCTTCCAAATTAGGATCCTCGTTCATGAATCATTATATAACAGTTTAATTCTTACTATTTTAACTTCAGATGCTTACCCTTTTAAAAAGTCAGAATCTTTCTCTATTGGTGCAGTATAATCATGGAAATATCTGTCATTAAAAAAATCAATTTTATAGAAATGATTTCTGTTCCTTTTGACTTAGCATTTGCTTTTTTCTCATATAAATTGTCTTCACAGTTTTCTTTTTAAAGATTGATCAGCTCTTTAGAAAAATTTGCTACATTTTTTAGCTAGCATTTATTGGCATTTAAGAAAGCTGTAATGTAACAACTAGATAGCTTCAAATAAGCTACCTTCAAATGTCAATGGTATCTGCAGAAGAATGATGGGGAAAATGTTCTTCAGAGAGGGTTGGCTGCAGTAATCATGCAGTTCTTTAAGGGTAGTGACATACAGCCACTTTCTCATGGAGAAAGAGTTTCAGGTGATCTCCCCAGTCCTGAGGGAGACCTCAGGTAGGATCTTTTGCATTTTCACTGGTTTTGATCCTGGGATTTAAGAGGCTTTTATTTTCTAATTATTATCCTATGAAACTAGGAGCATATTTAAAGGGCTGATTTTAATAATAAAAGATTACCAAATACAGAATGATGTTACCAAGTACAAGAAGATCAAAATATACTGTGAAATGAGTCATTCTCAATAGAAAGAAGAAAAGGAAGTGGTGGTTTTAGACATTTACTCATAAAATAAGAGCAAGCAAGGAAGGATGAGCTGGGAGTGAAAAAAAGTTAAACCACAGGGATTTCTTGGCAAGGAAAAATATTATGAGTCCCCCAAGGACTAATTTTAGTGGTATACCTCAAAACAACGTCATACAAGATTTTAGCTAAGTGTTTATTAAGTGGTGATCAGGCATGATGACCCTCAACGAGTGAGCATTGTCTGCTAGTGGTTTTCTCTAATATGCTGCAGATCTGAACTCATACAAAGTTTTTTCTTTTGTCAGGTAAGTCGTGGAATTAAATGATAAGTATCTATTTGAACAAACCTACCCTAGCTAAAGGGACTAGTTAATAAAACATTAAAAGTTCATTTTTTTCCTATTTTACCATAACAGTTCTCATTTTGGCGGGTCAGATTCCTTTCAGGAGCCTGCCTCTCATGCATCTGAATAATGCAGATTCCATGGCACCTTACCCAGTTCCCATCTTATTTGTTATCCCAGCCAATCCAACTCTGCTTCTCATTGACATGTCTGGTTGTTAGCAGAAGGAAATACGTGTCACCTTTTACTATTATAAATACAGTACACAGAGATAGTAAAATGCTATCAGAAGATTAATTTGTACTGTAGCAATGTGATACTTCTGATGGCAAGGCTTATGAATCTGTAATTCATTATTTGTCCATTTAGTTTCTTTTACCAGTACATTTTCAAAATAATTTTAGTTGGTTTATTTTCATAATTCTGCTGTAAAGGTCAGTCAAGAGAAAAAACACTGTGAGTTGCATCTCTGAGTAACTTAGTTCCATGTATGTCACAGAAAGTTAGACTGACTACATGTAGCTATGAGAAGCCAGAAACAAAGCCTCCCTGCTTGCCTGAGGACTTAGATATATGTCTACTAAATCTGCCATAAAATTAATACCATTCAATTAATATATTTTAAGAATACATTTCAGTTAATACAGTTTGATTAATAAATTAATACCTGTGTTTATAACATTGCTAGGGGATGTTGCCATCTAAATAGGCACATTTTGTGTATTTAAACTGCTAATTTTTATTTTAAATTATTTGGGGATGGCTTAATAATAAGTGCTCAAGTTAGAAAAATTGCTTATTAAAAACTTATATCCTGAATTTTCTTAGTTGCAGTTATACATTCACTCCTTGGAGGACAGCTTGCTATGGCTTTCTAGGAAGCAAATGCATTTTGAAAGAGAACTCTTAGTGAACCGTGTGATTTGGTTTGTAATATCATTATTACAAAGTGAAAGCATTTTGATATACTAGTGGAAATCTCAGCCACATTAAGGTGACTAAACCATTCTCATAACTTCTTAATGTGAAAACTTCAAAGATCTTATACAACAGTTAGAGGTCTGTGTAATGAACACAACTGTGGCCGTCATCTCTTAATAACTGTTAGCATTTTGCCATACTTGTTTCATATTTTATTTTTCAGTAGATTTAACATACATGTCAGCCAAGCCATTTAAACCAGATTACCTCCAGAATCACAAAGGCCTGGGTCTTGTGGGTCTTCCATGTCATCTAGTATAAGCAAAGTCTTATACCTGAGCTTCAGGACTCCACTTTGAGATGCTATGAGTTGGTGCAAGTCAGCTTGTACAAGTGTGACCAGTTTTACAAACTTGATGTATTTATCAAGAATGTGAAGCTCATCAAATTTGCATGGGTTTCTAATAATGTAAACCTAAAATTTAGACCAATGATTCAGATACTTTTAGCTCTTTTATTATTCTTAAATACCAATTTGCCCTTGCCCACCAAATTTAGTGTTTAGATTTTTGGTTGTTGTTTTCTCAAAAGGTAAAGCATGCCCTTATTGACAGTGTTTTTTGTGTGTGGCATTATCCACTTAGGAAGCCTGGTATCAGGAGAATCTGACCTGTCCCCGTGTTCATGGTCCCCTGGGGCAAGTGCACCCTGTGGCTCCCAGTGAACCTGGTGATGCTCTCAGGTCTATTCAGCAGCTGCCAGAGGAAACACCCTTAAAAATACTATTAGGACACATTTAGTCAGTTCATGATGTGAAATTAGTCCAGGAAGTCCTTTGTCCTGTTCCACACACAGAGAAGTACTGTTCATAATAATTTTGTATAGTCAGGCTTAAAGTTTTAAAATTAAATTCCCACATATCAGAAATAAAGAAGAAAACTCAAAGCTAGCATGGTAAGCAGATGCTTAAAGTTTGTCTAAATTCTGTAAGAGAATCAAAAGCTGATTTATGCCTACAGGCCTGGGATGTTTTGACTTTTTTTTGTTGTTTATTTTTGGTGGTGGTTTGTTTGTTTTTGTTTTCTGAAACAAGGTCTTGCTAATATAAACCAAGCTGGCCTGGAGCTCACTGTTTTCCTGTCCTTTGACTTTAGGCCATGTGGGAAATAAAACTAGCTCCTTAAAAGCAAACCCCTAAACCTGTGCCATACAAAACAAACAAACAAACAAAAGCAAAGTGGTCTGAAACCAATAAAACTATTAAGGTTCCAGGAACAATCCGTTGGGAAATTGTCGAGTACAAGTGTTTCTGTAGTGCAGGATCCTTCGAAATCCATGGAAAACAATCTGACTGAAGATTAGCTTACAAGTAAAACTAAACAGCATGCAAGAAAGTAAACTACCATGAGAGAGAACCAGCAGACACAGCTACAGGTCATAGTACAATCTGAAAGAGACTTCAACTGTGAGAAATAAGTAATAGTGAATAAAAGCTGCAAGCCATGGGGGCACTCAAAGCAGAGGAAGCAGATTTGAAAAGGAGACACTGCTACTAACAAATAAAAGGTTATTGCAGCCAGTATTTTCTTTAATCCAATTTTTTTCTCTGTGGGAATTGTTTAACCAAAGTCTGTACTTTTGCTTGAAGTAAGAATGGAATTTGCCATTATTGACAAATGCAAGACCAAAATAATACTATGTAAGCTTAGTGAACGTTTTTTTCCCTTAAGGAAATCTGACAAAGCACATGAAATCCAAGGCACATAGCAAGAAATGTGTGGACTTAGGCGTCTCAGTAGGTTTAATAGACGATCAAGATACAGAAGAATCAGGTAAGGCTTTACATCATATTTTTCATAATTGCTATTTACAATGTACTATTTTTTGCATCCATACTTTCCTTTCCATTCCCACTGATACTGCTTAATTCCTATTTTCATAACCTTGCATTTAAATGTGTGACAGACTCCTGATTGGTTTTCCCATCTCAAGTTTTTCTTCCTTCCCTTTCTTCTGTCCATACTGATGTTAAATTAATCTTTCTAAAGCATTTGTTTAATCACACTGTTCCTCTGATCAGTTTTTCATCAGTTCCCATTTGCCTTTAAAATCAAGTGTGAACCATTTGACCTTAATCAGAATCCTTTATAATCTGCCCCTACCTACTTCACCCTTTCCATTTCTCACTTCAGCCACCCTCATGCTTGAATTTCCTCCAGCATGACATTCATTGATCCTGCTGTCCTCCACCCATCCTCCACTTAGAGCTCCTGTCTTTGCTCCCCAGACATGCCTCCAGTCTGCACTGGTCATAGACTCACTTTCCTTCAAGATATATCGCAAAACCACTGCCACCATGAAGTCTTCTCTGATTTTCCCTTCCCACGCACCTTGTGAGAAACCAATTTTTCCCTTCTCTGAACTCTTGTCTACCATATTCTGTGATTTGGAAATTCATGTGTTTCTTCTCCCCACCCCCAGCCTCCCTAGCACAGCTGCTCCAAAAGTATGTGCAGAATAAGGCATTTGTTTGCTTGTCAGAAATGTTTATTGCTTAAGTTATTTTTTTAATAGTGTTAACAAATATAAGTATTTATCTCTGACCAATTTGGAGGGAAAATAAACTCGTTCTTATGTTCCGATTTATCTGAGGAGAAGTATCTTTTTTTCTTTTCTTTTTGATGTTACTGGAGCTTGAACTCAGGACCTCCAGCTTGCTAGGCAGGCACTTTACCACTTGAGCCACACCCCCAGTCCTTTTTGTTCTGGTTGTTTTTGAGATAGGGTCTTGCTTTTAATGCCTGAGTTGGTCTGAACCTGGATCCTCCTATTTGTGCTTCCCAGAGTAGCTGGGATGTGTGCCACCACACCCAGCCATTGGTTGAGATGGGCTCTCACAAACATTTTGCCCATGCTGGCCTCAAAATGAGTTACTCCAATTTCTGCCTCCAGAGTAGCGAAGATTACAGGCTTGAGTCACCATTGCACACAGCAAGAGAGGAGAAATGTCTTTAACCAAAGACTTTACCAGCAAAACAGAGAATTTTAAAAAGAATTTTTAAAAAATGATATCTTGCTGTTTTTTCTAAATGCCCTAAATTAAATATTTACCTGCTTGCTACATTTTTTCTTAATTTGTATTAGCCTGATATAGAGAAAATAAAAGGAGAAAATGATGAGGACATCCTTGAAAATATAGGTTAAAATATCAACTCATTTAACCTCACTGACAACCAGTAACACACTAAATCAGTCAGTCTGCATTTATTTCTATATGTGCAGAAGTGACTCATATCTTAAGTAGTAAGAGAGATTCAGATGTAAGTTGCTAGGAAAAGTGTGTAAGAATTCCTGCAAGTATACTTATTACCCACTGACTAGAAAAGGTCCAAGGTGAAGGTTACAGCACCAAACACCGGTAACTGAAAAGTGTACCTGTAAAAGGTGGTGCCATCATAATAGGATATCACGTGCTTTACTTCTTCAAGATGAGTCTTATAAAAAGCAACAGGCATGTGTAGAGTCCTCCAAACTGTTAAGGGAAGGTAACCTTTATATCCTAAATTTACACAGAAGTAAGTATAGTTTTCATTGTTCAGATCAACTGACTGACTAGCTGACTTACATATCTATCCATTCATTTTTGTGCTTTTCATCTCATTCCAAAAGCATTGGAAGTTGGTCTTAGGTCATAAATCAAAGCCAGTAGTCTAGTTCCCTATTAGGATTAGTTATTCTGATAAGTCAAGGCTCTTTTACCTGTTTTTATATATTCAATTTAATTTTTTAATAGCTGTGTTTAGAGGAAGTGCTTGGTTTCTTCATAGGTTTTATTGAATAGTAAAGTGTAGCACACAAGTACAAAATCCTAAATGCCATGTCAAGAGAAACCCAAAATTCTTCATGGCCATGCCAGCAAAATACATTCCTCTTCTTTTACTTTATTCTAGGCTTGTAGTGTGGTATAAATATAGTAAGCAGTTGTCTTAAACAAATGGTCTTTTCCCTCTAATTCTCTTTTGTGCTTTAGAAAATATTTTGAGATTTTTTTCAATACCAAAAGATTACAAAGAATTTTAGGACACACACTCATGTGTTCCTACCAGATGTGATGATTTTAAGTATTTTCTTCAGAGTTGCTTCACATCCTCATAAATTCAGTGTAATTTTTTTTTATAAAGAACAGTCTTGGTAAGGCATTGTGCACATGGTACAGCAATGCTCTCCCCCTCAGAGGCATTGGGGGTTTCTCTTCAATTCACTTAACTTTCTTGTGGAGGTCCATGAATAGTATGTGGTTTTATGTTTATATTTTAAATTTGCATAAACAATACAACTTTGTGTATAGAAATGTAGAAAATTAATTTAACTTTACAATCCCACATTGTTTTCCAGAAAGAACTTGCCATTTCCCTACCTCTTTAATGTATTGTCCGAATTTAAATTTTGGCCAATTTGATGGATGATAGATAGTTTGTTGTCTTTATTTGTGGTTTCTTGGCTGCTCAACTAAGGTTAAGTCTTGCTTTCCTTTCGGAAGAACTTTCACTCCATTAAGTTGATGAGAGTTAGAGATGGGATTTTGCTTAACAGGTTTTCAAATAGTCTGTGTTTGGGAAGTAGGAGCCCAGAAGCTGCAAGGTGGGAATATGTGTTTGGCAGGTGTGCTGTTTTATAGCTTACCTCTAGCCAGAGATATGCTGCTTATTCTTTTCCCATCTCCTTTGCTGTCTCCTCCATATCTTCTACATGTGAGCCTTGGGCATGGTCTCTGATCTTCTCTCTCTTCTGTCTCTGTACGCACTGCAAGTCATCTCCTAGTCTTCTGAACTTGAAAGCCATCTGGGTACAGATAACTCCCCACCCACTCCATGCCTGCTCACCGTCTCTGTTCTGATGCCTAATGGGCATTTAAGTTTGACATGTCCCAAACTCTTGATTTAGCCATCATCTCTAAGGCACATTTCTCCTGCAGCCTTCCCCCAAGTTGCCACTGCTTTTCCAAAAATCTTGATATTATACTTGATGCCCATCTTTTTCTCACTTTGCCTCTAATGTACCAGTAAAACTTCTCTTGGCTCTTCCTTCCAAATGTCTTCAGAATCCTACTGTTTTAACCCCCCATAACCCTGGTCAAAGCTCCCATCATCTCTACTACATTGCTTCTTGTAGCTCCTGACTGGCATCCATAAGTGAGCCCTGCCTCTTCTGACTGTTTTCAACAGAGCATCCAAAGTAGACCTTTACAAATTATGTCAGTCCCCTGCTTCCTCCCCTCCTGTGGTTTCCTTGCTCTCAGGCACTGATCTACCACACCCTGGGAGCTCCCACCCACTCACCCTTCCCACCACCATCTCTGACCCAGCTCCCACTCCTTCCTCCCATGCTGACTCAGACTCAGCCACAGGGCCTCCTGGCTCTTTTCTGAGCACACACAGAAGCTCCTTTGCCCTTCCTCCCATGTTTTAGAATGTTCTCACCACCCATGCCTGCAGCTCTCTGTTCCGAGGGCCCCTCCTCAGTGGGGCCTGCCTGAACTTCCCTGTGCATCGAGAAAGGAAGCTCCCCTCTGACTGCCAGCATTACTTCTGCCCATTATTCTCTGAGCTTTCCTTATCACACAGATTGCCACCAGATGTACATGTGTCTCTGTGTGTGTACTTGTCTAGTATTTGTTCCCAAGGAATGGAACATGAGTGGCATAGGGACAGCGATCTAGTTTTGTTCACTGCTCTTAGGGCTGTGCCTAACAGAGATAGTTGATTGAATGAATGCTCAGGAAAACATGCTATGCAATCTTATATGAAATACTTCATTAGTATTTTTAGAATTTGAATTTGATATATTGAATTCCCATGAAATTCCTTCTCTAAAATTGAATAGCACACTGTTTAACACCTGTCCCTATAAGTAGTGTATGTGATAGAGACACAGCCCCTACAGGTATTATTAAGGTGGTGATGGCATTCATTTATGAATTGGTTGTTTATTGACCATTGGATCAGAAGATGGTTTGTGTTTCTAACTATCTCATTTACTCAGTTTTGATAATGACCTCTCCAGATTGATAAAGATGTTTTCCAGTTTTCTGTAACGCTAGACAAGAAAAGTTCATTCTCTCTCTGGTTGACTCACTTGTTTCTTTACCATGTGGACAAGTCTTTGGTGTTTATACACTTACTGTACTCCATGAGCTCTTGGTTCAGGTTGGGATACTAGGATGAACCCAGGCTTGGCAGGGAGGGATCAGGGATGACCAAGTTGATTGCATTGATGACAAGAGGTCTCCCAAAAGGAAGAGAAGGGATGTGTTTGTCCTCCCCTGGCTTTATTGAAGGAGGATTAATAAGGGAAGGTAAGCAATCCAGACCCTAAGGGACTTGTTTGGACAAAAGTGCACAGACTGGAGGAGAGGGAAATAGAGGAGGAAAGAGGTAAGCAGGAGCCCAGCCTGGGAAGGGGCTGACATACAGGGAGTGCTATGCAAGGAATTTCAGAGTGGGGTGCTGCCTTCTAGGTTTAAATTATACATTACATTAATTCTGTAATTATATCAAAGAATAATGGCTGTTTATACTGAGTTCTTCATGCTTTGACACTTGTTTCTTACATGTAAGTTTTTAGTATTTCATTCTAAATGTTCAACAATATGTGTAGTGTTTCTTTAAGAACCACGGCGTTTTTTTAATGAGCTAATGTCATTTAAAGTCATTGGCTCTTTTTTTTGGGAGGGTAGGGGGGAATGGCACTCTACCACTTGAGCCACACTTCCAGTCCGTTTTGCATTTTTGGAGATGGGGTCTCTCAAAGTATTTCCCCAGGCTAGCCTCAA